AGCCCCATCCACGTAGGTCAGGTTGGATTCACTGGGTGGCTTTCCCCACCCGCCCCGTGTGGGCGCAGGGCGGATCAAGGCCATCCAGCTGGAATACTCGGAGGCGCGGCGGACCATGACCAACGCCCTGCGCAAGGCCCCGCAGCACACAGCCGTCGGCTTCAAGCAGACGGTGAGTGGGGAGGGAACAGGACCCCCCTGGGTTGGGTCTGAGACCCCTTGAGGTTGGGATCTCACAGGGCTTGGATGTGGGACCTTCTGGGATGCCAGGCCCCATGGAATTTGGTTTGGGACCTCTCAGGCTTATGACCTTCTGGGGTGTCAGGCCCCATGAAATTTAGTTTGGGATCTTCCAGGTTTGGTACCACCTTGGATGTCAGGCCCCATGGTGTCAGGTCCCCTGGGATTTGGTACTTCCCACAGTCAGGACCAGGACTCCCCAGGGGTGGGCTCCACAGGAATGGTTCTGTGACTTCCCAGGCTTGGCACGTTCCAGGATGAGATCTGGGACCCCCCAGGGTTGGGCTATGCAGGGACAGCTGTGGGATCTCCAAGGGCTGGGCCCCATTGGGACAGGTTTGGGACCTCCCAGGGTACTGAGCCCTGCAGGGATGACAGGTGCAGGATCTCCTAGGTTTGGAACTTCCCAGGGGCAAATCTGGGACCTTCCAGGCTCCACAGGGACAGGAACGGGTTTGAGATCTCCTGGGGTCTTGTGCCCTTGGGGGATGGGTTCGAGACCTCTTGGAGTGCACGGGGACAGAGATGGTTTCAGGCCCTGTGGGGACTCACTCAGGGTCTCGCTGTGCCCCAGGTGCACAAGCTGCTCATCGTGGTGGAGCTGCTCCTCGGGGAGATCCCAGACAGGCTCCAGTTCCGGCAGCCCTCGCTCAAGCGCTCGCTCATGCCCTACTTCCTGCTGACCCAGGGTATGGCCACCCACCCCTGCCTGCCTCTGTCCTGCCTGCAATGTCAGAGAATCGTGGAATATCCTGAGTGGGAAGGGACCCAGTGGGAATCCTCTTCTCTCCCCTTGATGGGACTTGGATGCAGATGCCACTTGGGAAGGAGGAGAAGGAGGAAGTCAGCCAGCCCTGACTCACTTTCCTCAGCCTTTCTCCTTCCCCCATTCCCACCTTCTTCCCTCCAGCCGTCAGGACAGGGAACCTGGCCAAGTTCAACCAAGTCCTTGACCAGTTTGGGGACAAGTTCCAGGCCGATGGCACCTACACCCTGATCATTCGACTGAGGCACAACGTCATCAAGACAGGTAGGAGGGTGTTTGGGGACCCCCAGCAAGCTGGGCAGGCCTGGGGAGCTGCATCCCATTCCCTTCTCCCTGCAGGTGTCCGCATGATCAGCCTCTCCTACTCCCGCATCTCCCTGGCCGACATTGCCCAGAAGCTGCAGCTGGACAGCCCCGAGGACGCCGAGTTCATCGTTGCCAAGGTACCAGCACAGGGAGTCCCATCCCTATGGGGTCCTGGGGTGCCCACAGCTCCCCACCCTGCCCCGTTCCCCCA